TGAGTTGCCCAAGGTTACACTGCTAATAAGGGATAACCTGAGGCTTAAACCCAAGCTTTATGATTCTAAATCTAAGGCTTTTGCACTCTTCTGTGTTCTTTTGCCCCTTATAAATAAACAGACCCATCTAATATCTTATTGCTAGATATGGAAGTCAGTCAAAGCAGGTGGATTCTAAAACTTTTTTTTTAAAAGATTTTATTTATCTCTGTGAGTGAGAGAACACAGGTGTGCATGCGTGTGAGAGAGAGCATGGATGGGGGAGGGGCAAAGGGAGAGGGAGAAGCAGGCTTCCTGATGAGCAGGGAGCTCAATGTGAGACTAGATCCCAGGACCCTGAGATCATGACCTGAGCCGAAGGCAGATGCTTAACTGACTGAGCCACCTGGGCACCCCTAAAACTTTTTTAAAATTGTGTATATATTTATTTATTTGACAGAGAGGGAGAGAGAGAGAGAGCACATTGGTGAGCATGAGTCAAGGGAGGGAGAGAAAGAGGGAAAGAATCCCAAGCAGTTTCTGTTCTGAGCATGGAGCCCAGGACTTGGGGCTCAATCCCAGAACCCTGAGATCATGAACTGAGCCAAAACTGATAGTCCAGCACTTAACTGACTGAGTCACACAGGCATTTAGGGAAAAAAATTCCTAATGTGGGGCTTCACCAACTTTTAGTCCGAGACTCTGGATCTCTTACACGTCATTGTGTTGGTCCCAGTTTGTCTTTATTTTGGAAGGCTAAAATAATGTGAAGTGTTTTGTTCTAAAACAAATACGTACATGTGGAGAGATGAAAAAAATACAGTTAACAGTGATAAATGCCATGTGAAGTTTTTGGGTTTTGGAGGGCTTGCTTTTTAAAAAATTTTTATTTTTTTTTAAAGATTTCATTTATTTATTTGAGAGAGAGAGAGAGCACAAGCAGGGGGAGCAGCAGAGGGAGAGGGAGAAGCAGGCTCTCCACTGAGCAGGGAGCCTGATGTGGTGCATGATTCCAGGATGCTGGGATCACGACCTGAACCGAAGGCAGATGCTTAGCCAATTGAGCCACCCAAACACACCTGTTTTGTTTTGCTTTGTTTTTTTTTAAAGGTTATTTATTTGAGAGAGAGTGCATGAGTGGGGGGAATGGGGGAGGCAGAGGGAAAGGGAGAGAATCTTAAGCAGACTCTGCACTGAGTGTGAAGCCCAGTGCAGGGCTCAATCTCACAACCCAGAGATCATGACCTGAGCCAAAAATCAAAAGTCTGATGCTTAACCAACTGACCCACCCAGGTGCCCCTGCCATGTGAAGTTTTCAATTGAAAATACTTTGTAAATATTAGAAAGCATATTGCCCAAGAAGTACACTTTGAGATAAAGGTCAGTTTAAAAGAAGACGTCCTCTATCAATCATTCAGTCAACAATATAAAGTCAATAGCTGGGGTGCCTGGGTGGCTCAGTTGGTTAAGCATATGCCTTTGGCTCAGGTCATGACCTCAGGGTCCTGGGATCGAGCCCCACATTGGGCTCCCTGCTCAGTGGGGAGCTTGCTTCTCCTTCTCCCACTCCCTCTGCATGTGTATGTGCTCTCTGTCTCTGTCAAATAAATAAAATCTTAAAAAAAATCAATAGGATACTAGAAAGAATGAGAAGCACTCTGTTCTCAGGAAGCTCATAGTTAGGTTAACATTCTGTGTACACTGTATAATAAAACTTTGTAAACCCATGGGCACATTTCTGTTTCATGGCAAAAAAGCATTTTAATAAACAGCTTCTAAGAAATCAGTTCATTTGGCCAGTGAACTTGGATTTTACCACCTAAATTATCCTGAGCCACAGTCAGAGTGTTTAAGTGCAGTCCTAGCATGCTTTGTACTTCCCAGAAAATCATAAATCTGTTTTCCAGTTTCTGTATAGAGGTCCTAAATTTGAACTTAAACCATAAGGACCATTAATTGGTAAAACCCATAGCAACTAATAACTTAGAATCATAGAAAAGTAAAGTCAGCAGACCTTGAACTTTTTTGTTCATGCTATCTATACTGCACTCTGAAATGTAAAGTGTTACACGTTTCTTTTTACATTATTATTTACTCTGGGTATTAGTGCAGATTATGGAATTTCAAATTTAAGTGGTCCAGGAGATCACAGAACTCTTCAGTGGCAGAACGAGGACTGAAACCCAGGTTTGCTGATAGTCCAGCCTAGCTTTTTCTTTTCCTGCTGGAATTCCTAATATAACATCCAAGAAACGTTTAATCGTGATCTTCTTAAAATTTTACATGCGGTCTCTTTATTCAGTGGTTTGGATGCATCTAAAATTTTCCCTTATTGTATGAGTTTACTCTGCCTTTGTATCTTCTAAGGCTTATTTTTACTTTGATTAGATATGACGGATCAGGAGCGCCTGGGTGGCTCAGTCAGTTAAGTGTCTGCCTTCAGCTCAGGTCAGGATCCCAGAGTTCTGGGATCAAGCCCCGTGTTGGGTGCTCCCTTCTCAGAGAGAGTCTGCTTCTCCTTCTCCCTCTACCCTCCCTCTACTTGTGCGCTCTCTCTCACTCGCTCACTCTCTCAAATAAATATTAAAAAAAGATATAACTGATTATTCATACTTTAAAAAATTACTTATGACATGGACTTAAAAATATGTCATTTTTTAGACTTTCTACCCAGCTACAGAGAAAGCATTGGTTTCTGAGCTGTTGGTTCTTCAGCAGTGACAATGAAAATATGTTTCCACTTCAAAACAAACACCATTAGATATAGCTTCCTGGCTTATCACACCTGCCTTTTCTGCTCTCAGGGCTGTCTTGAGTCACCTGAGGGGTAGGTGTAGAAGCACTTTGAAAACCATCAAGTGCCATAACAATATGTTGTATGCATGCATTCATGTGTGAATCTTCTGATTAATTGTATACTTGAGACGGTTTTTTTTTTTTTTTTAAAGATTTTATTTATTTATTTGACAGAGATCACAAGTACGCAGAGAGACAGGCAGAGAGAGAGGAGGAAGCAGGCTCCCTGCTGAACAGAGAGCCTGATTCAGGGGCTCGATCCCAGGACCCTGGGATCATGACCCGAGCCGAAAGCAGAGGCTTTAACCCACTGAGCCACCCAGGCGCCCCTTGAGACGGTTTGTTAAACGACATTTTGCTGCAAGAGTTTATAGATTGGGATAGGCCAAATGTTTGACTGGGTCACGGAAAACATTTAAATCCAGCAAGGCTTGCTGGTAGTCAAATCATAGAGTGGGTGCGTGGTAGGAAATAAGGCTGGAGTGTTGGTACCTTAGAATGTGAATAGAAACAACAGATTCGAACATTTTCTTTGCTTAGTATCTAGCCTATTTGTTCTTTCATCAGGATTTTTTGAGCACCTAGTAAAGACTAGGCATAGTTTTAGATGTCACTGATGTTCACAATAAGTAAGACAAGGTACTGCTATCCCCCAGGAGTTTACAGGGGAAGATAGTTATAGACAAGGTATAACATAGGATAATAGATGTTTCTATTTTGTAATCTACCACATAACTGACCTTGCCAAGAAAGGTATAACCTTGGTTAGATTTTTAAAAAATTTAAATGTATTAATATTCTCATGATCTTTTTAAACTTTAAAAAACAATATTATAAAATATATACTTAAAATATTTTGAGATATGTAACACAAAAACTATATTTTTAAATGTATAAATTATTTATATATATTGAATCTTAGTTATATTTAATATTCAGTTACATTTGTTTTGTATATATTTATATTTAGATAATCTTAATTACCTAAAATGAATCTTTTCTACTTGGTGAGCCATCTGAACATTCCCTATCTGGCTGCATTACTGTTAGAGAGCTCTTCAAGTAAGGGAGGGCACAGCTGTCACTTTGATGTTTGGTGCCAGTACTTCTTCAGAGCAGAAACCTGACTTTGAATCCTAGCTCTGGCAGATAGTAACTGTGGAACTTATTTGTGCCTCAGTTTCAATGTCTGTGAAATGGAAATAAAGATAATACCTAACTCATCATTGTGAGAAGCGAATGAGTTAATACATGCGAGAGTGCTTAGGTGAGTGTCTGGCATACATTTAAAACTGTATAAATGCCATCAGCAGCTATCATTGTCACTGTTATTGTTACTATTTGGCAGAATAATGTGAGGAAGCTTAAGAATGGACTTTCTCAAGCTTGAAAATTGCTCAAAACTAAAGGTAGAAAGATAAAAAGACGGGAAAGAAGGGAGCTAAACCTTTGTTGATCATCAGCTATGTGCATGGCAGTGACCTCGTATTTACCTACATTTTCATTTAGTCCTTACACCAGTGCCCTGAAGTATATTAGAAAACAAGCTCAAATTAGGAAACTTGCATAAGGTCTTGTCCAAGTAAGTGGACAACACGATGATAACTGGTCTTTGCTATTCTGCATCCTGTACTCTTGCCTTGCAGGACACTAGAAAACGTGAGAATTCAGCAAGTTTCACTAGGAGGTAAGCTTGAAATTTGCTTGTTAGGGACTTTATTTTTAATGATCATTTAAAGGATGTCATCACCATTTTTAGTTTCTTCCTACTGTAGTGATTTGTTTTATGAATCTGTAATTCCACCCCTCCCATTCAAAAATACATTGCAATAGTTTAAATGATGTAAGTGGCACCTAGATGGCACATATTTGGACACACAGAGTCTTAGTAATAGTTTTCAGAATTAAGCTGAATTATAATCTCCCAATTTTCAAGATCACTATTGTAATTATTGAAGTCATTACTCCTGAAGTTAATAGCTATTCCATAGGGCTTTTAAGCCTAAATTCCATGTAGCTACATATCCTAGGTACTGATCCTTTTTTTGAATTTATAAATAAAATTCGTGAAATTGCTTTTCTTTTGCTGTTTATTAGCCCAACCTTACGAATTGTTTCCCCTGTAGGTAATAGAGAAGAGGTTTTTGAATTTATAAATAAAATTCATGAAATTGCTTTTTTTTTGCTGTTTATTAGCCCAACCTTATGAATTGTTTCCCCTGTAGGTAATAGAGAAGAGGAAACCTAATCAATGGCTGTGGAATGATACGGAAGAAGATGGAAAAAACTTGTTTAATGGGTAAGAAATAAAACTATAATAAAAAGATTAATGAAAATTATTCTTAATAGTGTTATGTATGGCCAGTCTGTAATAAGTGGCCAAGGTTGGTATTCTAATAGGGTGAATGATCAGTCACCATATTTGTCTTATCCCCAGTCTGAACTTTCATCACCTGCTTCCTTCTTACCATTGTGAATTTCTCAGTACTATGAGTTAGCTTAAGCTAAGAGGGGACACAGCTCTTTTTGAAGATAAAAGTAGGATTTGGAGTTCAGCAACCATACTAAAATCCAGGTTTGGGGTAGGTTTTGAAGCTTATTGGTGGTTGGATTCTCATTTTCCAAATCCTGCCAGCTGCTGTGATGTTAGGCTTTACTCTGATGATCCTGTTCATTTAGGCAAGTGCAGGTTGTGCCAATGGAATGCCACAGAAAGCCTGATGGGACATGTGACTAAATTTATGAGATATGAAATGTTTTAATACTACAAGTCCATACGTTCTTATTGTCAATAATTCAAACATTATAGATAACCAAAACTCTCTCCCTAAAACTTAGCCCCCTTCCAGGGTGTAGAATGTATGATAGATTTTTGTGCAACCTTCTTTGCCTAATGATTAAAAAATTGGGTTTGGAAGCCAGACTGTTTTTGACTAGGCATCCATTAACTTAACATTTGGGCAACTAAATTTCTTTATGAACTTAATTCCTTGGTTATAAGTGGGGACAGTAAAATTTCTGTCTCATCGTGATGTTGAGGATTAATTGGATAATACATCTAAAAACCTTGGAAAAATGCCTGAAACATAGTGTTGAATAAATGTTAGCTGTAATTTTCGTATGTATTCTAGTTAGCATTTTTATGTGCCAGCCCTCCACATATGCATCTTTTTTCCTCACGTACTGTAGGAGTTAAACTATCTTGGATAAGGTTAACCCTGGTGGCAAGGATTTTTAAAATTTTCATGCAAGTGTTCTTTTTGGTTTAAGCTTGGATTATCTCAGAGTATGCTGCTAGGCTGTGTGTGAGAACAGAGTTCTACACCTTCAGCTCTTACTGCATACTTCATGATGTATAAATGATGCTTACAAATATGCATGAGTAGAGACTATCTTCTGGCTCTGATAGTTTTATCTTGCCCATAGAAGTATCATGTTAAAGCAGGATGCACGGTTCTCTTGTTTCTAATAGGTATGTCAAATTTTCTGTTAAGATTCCTTCAGTCTCTTTTGAAAGACCAGTCTTTTTAAATTTTTTTTCTTGTTTCACAGAATTGTAATAATTATGAAAATGTCTTTGATATCTTTTCCATGGCTTGTCGGCACTTTCTTACCTGTTTTTAGGAAGGGAGGCCACTAAGACAGTCATCTCTTCTTAATATTTTCCTTCTTATTGTCCTGGGGCTTTATTAGATTATTATGGAATATTCTCTCTGTTGGGACTATTTTAGAAGACTAATATATATAAACAGAAGTTAACATTTACTGAATACTTCTTATGTGTCAGGCTCTGCTTTAAGTGCTTTACTTACTCATTATCTCTTTTAATCCTATCATCTACTTATGAGGCAGATACTGTTATTATCTTCATTTTAAAAGCTGAGGGAGCTGAGGCACAGATTAAGTAACTTGCCCAAAGTCACATTGCAAGTGGCAGTTCTCAGATTCAAACCTAGATCTCTGTTCCAGAGCCTGTAACTGCTGGCCTGGTAGTAAACTCACATAAGGTTTGTTAAGGTGGGTGTACATTTAAATAGAATGATAAAGCCAAATATTTCCTGAAAAAGCACCATAACTAATCTGATTTTATTGTCTGTGGGAAGGAAAATGTGAAATCATGTATCTTCTTAAGTGTGGGAAAAATGATGTGAGATGATTATTCATAAATAATTGTTTGTCTCGGACCATCCTTAAATGAATACAGCTGTTCTGCTTCTTTATGAATCATTTTCAGTAGATAGAAAATCACGTGCACCTAGCTCAGGACCAGCATGTATGTGTTTAAAAGGGACTAGAATGAGTTGATTTGTAGATTGCCATTTAGCTGCTATTTGTGGAAATGGGCTCTCAGAAAGATTGAACTGTGCAGCAGTTCGGAACTGATTAGTGATTGGAAATTGTTCTTTTGTCCTGTTAAATAATATTTGAATGACAGCAGAAAATTATGCAAGGAAAGAAAGGCAGGAGAAACGTGACTTATGGGTCTTATAATTAGAATGCCACTTAGAAGTAATGGTCTAAAAAGTCAATGTTCATTAACAATCGACACTTGTCTAGGAACTGGAAGGAGTTATAGTACATGGTTTTTGTTCTGGGCTATGTCTTGTCAGAGAGAAGCATTGGCTTTTTTTCCCTTCATGTAGCCATTCATTCCCCATTGAAATAGTAAAGTACAAAGGGTAGGCAACATTTAAAATAACAACAACTCTGATAAAATGTTTTGGCTTTCTTTAAAGTGTGGCCACACGTGGTCAGCAATGTTTTCCTCTCTCCTCTCCATCTTTTTAAATTCCCATTTCCTGTCTGAGAATCCCTTCTAAGTGTTGATCAAAATTATGGCTTTTAGCATGCATCTCTTTTACAAGTGTCTTAAAGAGTAGCTCATTGACCCCTGAGACTCTTTCAGGAATCAAAACTGTGTTCATAATAATACTAAAACATTACTTGCTTACGGGGTATGTAGCAGAGTTTTCCAAAGGCTACATGATTTGTAACCAAGTGAATACAGAAAAGGCTAGGAGAATCTAGCTGTCTTCCTTAATCCAGACATTGAAAAGATCTTCAGAAATGTGAAGTAAGACCACTCTTCTCTAGATTTGCAATGAGAAGCACTAAGGTTTGTTTCTATGTTAGAGTATAACAGTGGGGGTACCTGGGCGTCTCAGTTGGTTAATCAGCTGCCTTTTGGCTCAGGTCATGATCCCAGGGTCCTGGGATCAAGCCCCACTTTGGTCTTCCTCCTCAACAGGGAGCCTCTTTCTCCTTCTCCCTCTGCTGTTCCTCTTGCTTGTGCTCTCTCACTCCCTCTCTCTGTCAAATAAATAAATAAAATCTTAAAAAAAAAAAAGAATGTAACAGTGACTCCAATCTAGGCGAGAGAGTCATGATGCTCCTGTCTAGTGATTGAGTGGATTGCAACTGGTCACAGGCAGTGCCCACCACACAGCACCTCTGTGTACATTCTAGGGATATCCTGATAGACTGAGGCTATGTCTCCTGGTCTAGAGAGGTGAAACTTTTGCTCCTTTTTCATAATTGTGCTGGAGGGTCTATTCCAGATTATAAGGAGCTGTGGAAATCTAGAGAAAGGAGAGCTTGACTTTAAGTAGGAACACCATACAACCTTGACAGTGACCCCACTGATATGTGCCATATTTGGAGTTTTCCTTGTATTGGTTGCTCCCAATCTTGGGAGGACCAAAGGGACCTTTCAGGACAGCCTTTTATTTGACTGTATTAATTGAGCATCTCCTTTGTTCCAGCTATGTTCTAGGGGCTGGAAATAAGTCAGTGCACAAAAGAAAAACAAAAACATCTCTGTCCTCATGGGGCTTCCATTCCAGCTTTGGAGTCCTTTGCTGTAGTCCCAGCTCCCTCTTCAGGGGACTCTGAGTTGGTGATGGCTGCTGTGGTGCTCATACCTCTGTGTCTTGAGCACTGACTGGTTTTGCTAAGTGGCTAGCTGCTGAGGATAGAGTGGAAACTGCTTGACATTTTGTGATTTTTATTATTATTATTTTTTTTTAAAGTACCAAATGGTTGGGAATTTTCAAATCATATGTGGAACAATAAAGGTAGCCTATCTAGTCACCCTTATTGTGGCTATTTTAATCTTGTTTTGTTTTCAAGTTAGTGCCACTTCTGTCGAGAAATTTAACTTAAAATAATTAAATACCAACTAATGTTAAAATTATTCTAATTGTTTTTCATTATTTGAAGAAAAATGTTCATACATGTGTGAGATTTTCCTTGCCTGGTGAGTTGCTCCCAAGACCCTGTAATTTGTTTAATAGACTTTTATACAGAAAGAGATTACTTGGCTCATTAGATTGAGTCATTTAATAATGACTTGAAGGTTAACTAATGCAGCCATCAGACTCTTGCTCACCGGCTGGACGTCTATCACATCACCAAATTCAGTCATTTCCAAATGCAGACGAGTGGGAATATCATTAGAATATTAATGAAAAAAGAAAGTGACATTCAAAACGTGAATGACCAACAATTGTCTCTAAAGATAATTTTAATTTTTAAGATAATTGTCTCTAAAGATAATTTTAATTTTTAAGATACGCTTCTTGGGGCGCCTGGGTAGCTCAGTGGGTTAAAGCCTCTGCCTTCAGCTTAGGTCATAATCCCAGGGTCCTGGGATCGAGTCCCACGTCAGGCTCTCTGCTCAGCGGGGAGCCTGCTTCCCTTCCTCTATCTCTCTGCCTGCCTCTCTGCCTACTTGTGATCTCTGTCTGTCAAATAAATAAATAAAAATCTTTGAAAAAAGATACACTTCTTAATAGAAACTTTTTTTTTTAAATGGGGTGGCATTGTGACCCTCCCTTTATTGAAGGTATTAAAGGAGCTTTTTATTTATTTTATTTTTTAAAAAATATTTTATTTATTTATTTGACAGAGCCACTGAGCCACCCAGGCACCCTATACCCATATTTTTAAGCTAATCTTTAGTATTTTTAAATCTTAATTTGAGGGCCATTTTTTTTTTCCTTTTTGGAAGCAAGTACTCTGATTTCATTAGCACACAAAGTGTTTTTACAAGGCAATTCTAAAAGACCAGGAACCCCGTGTAAAAGACATGAATGGACAATTCAGGTAAAGAGGAAAAAATATCAGTTGTCACCATAATTAAAGACACACACACAAACAAAATATTATTTATTTTAATTTTAATATTTTATTTCAGTAAAAATATCTAAAGAAGTGTCAATCCCTAGTACTGGGGGAACACATATTCTCAAATACTACTGATGGGAGGTGAGGGAGAGAGT